CCAGGTCTACCAAGGCCTCTCTTACCCCCCTGCCCCCCCCCCCCCCCCACTACCTGGGACTTCCATCGCTTCCTGCTTAACCCATGCGTCTTGGGGGTATGACAGGAACTGACACTGCCTAGATTGCTGTCACTAAGCTATGACTGCATTGCTTAGCGATGGCGATCCCAGTCCCAATTGATGTCATAACCTGAACACTACCTGTATATAAAGTGTAGATGTATTGTATTCAACTATGTATTGAATCTAATAATGTCCATCTCCCTTTGGAACGGATTCTGCTGATATTGGTGCAGCGATTTTCCTATCTTCACTACCAACCTCTCTGTGCTCCTTCACCAAAATTTGCTTTGGAAGGTTATTATTATTATTATGCACAAGCAATGAAGAGAGCTGTACATTTTCAGCAAACAAGTATGTAATGTAAAGAATTAAGCAACTCTAAATGTCAGTTTTGTGACCTTCACTTTCTTAGTAAGCTGTCTTCTTTATTATCCTCATTCACAATTATTAGAAGTGGGTAGTGCTCCCAGTTTCATTTGTTCTTAGTTGGATGGCTTGGACTTGAAATTTATTTATTTAAGTCTAGTCCATGTGTTGATTGCTACAACTTTCTGTTTTTGTTCCTTAAAGATACTGCAGGGTACTTGCATAAAATATTGACTAATTATTTTTCTCAATTGGCATCTTCTTTGTCCTTGCTGGCTGTTGCAGATTCAGGGATAGTGACAAACCAAGACAGGACATATGCCAACTCTTAATGGAAAAATGTTGTTTTATTATGAATGTGCCGTGTACAAAAATATATTTTGCTACATAATAAATAATGCTCTGACATCTTTTTCTATATGACGTTCCAGCTCTTATACCTTATACTTAACTCTGGTTTGACTCTGATTCTTCTGTTCCTATTTTATATTATTCTCAACTCTAATCTATTACTGTTTCTGTAGTTCAAAATATCTACTTATTTTGTTTTCTAATTATGATCTGCTTCATCAGCTATACTGTTTTCATCTACCTCAGGTCTCTTCCCTCCCTCCCTTCTGTTTATCTCTATTTATGTCTTATTTTACATTCTCATTTCTATACCTGCCCCTTATCTATCTATATCTGTTCTATTAGACTATTTCCTTTCTTCTGTGTTAAGGTCCCAGATTCTTTCTACTGCCTTATCTTACCCATGACTCTTTTGATATGGCTTTCTGCCATCTCCGTTCCCCCTTTTTCTCTCTTTTGGTTTTTAAAGGCTAGTTCACCAAACATGGGAAGGGTGAGACCCTTTAAAGTCACATATGTGAGAAGAAATAGTGAAGGTGTTCTTGCTGCTCTGGTGGTCCTTTAATACTTGCACTCTTCAAATGCCTCTTAAATAAAAGAAATATTGTTATTCTACTATGGCATCATACTATTTTTGCAGTGTTTTAACCTTAGTACATATATTATTGACTTAAACATTATTAGTATATAGGCACTGACTTAAAAACTGTAGTGATATACAGTGTTTGTTCAGTGTAGCCTGAACAAAATCCAGAGGCTTTTTTATATGAAAAGTTGCAGGTGATAATACATCACACATAAAAAAAAATAGACAATTAAAAAAAATAAATTTGGGAAGAAATTTGAATTGGTAGAATTTCCCAAACATCCCAAGGTTGGGATGAACTGATTTTAGGGGAAAGTTTTTTTGATGGGCTATTTCATGCTGCACTCTTGCAATAAAATACTTATTTATTGTATTTGCATATTATCTTTCAAGATATTCTAAAAACTATTTGTTACAGGAATATTTGTGTAATAAACATTGGAAAGTATTTAAGTTTAAAGGTGATAAGAATTGACGTTATTATGGTTGGTTGCACAGTCAGCCAGATGTTTAGATTAAATAAAAATAGGAATAATTTGGCGTTTTTATCTACCTATTGAGTGTTTCCCAAGGACCTAGGATGGGCAGATGTTGTTGTCGTTGTTATCTTCAACATAGATATGTTAACTCTTTACTTGTATTTGTGGTAGCTTTAAGCAGTGTATGGTGCCCTCGGTTTTCTGGCTGGAAATACTGGGAGAAGAACTGCTATTACTTCAGTACTGAGGCTGCATCCAATTGGACGTTTGCTCGTAAACAATGTAGAAGATTCAGAAGTACAGACTTGCTATGGATTGATAAAAAAAGTGAAATGGTATTGATGCATTTTGTGAAAATTGAAGCTGGGATATACTTTTTAAAGTGTATGTGTGTGAATGTATGTATGTATGTATGTATGTATGTATGTATGTATACAGGTATATGTGTGTGTGAATCGTTAGATTTTATTGCAAATTGCTTTGAAATACATTAGTTGTATATCAGTATTTCTGTAATATTTTCCCTTACCACTTCAACAATACAGTGTTTTCTAAGACTCTGTACATCTGTGGTTTCAGGCTTTTAAGGCCCAGAGGACATTGGCCTGCTCTGACTGAAATCCTTTCCTCTCCCCGCTCTCTTTAAAATATGAGACATGCTTCGTTAGGCTTTCCTGACAAAATATGACTTATATAAATGTTCCTTTGGATTTCTTTTCCTAGGTCTCAGAGATTCTGTAAATAATTTGAGCATCTTTTTGAAGCTTTTTCTTCTTCATTTTATTCCTCTAAACTTTCTCCCAGCATAATTTCAGTTTTCTTTTTATTGGGCATAATAATGAGTTTGGGTGTATGTGATTATCATCATATGAAAGGCAAATTAAAGAGCAACTTTTAATTGGCTTCCATGTGCCTTCTAAAAAAGAATAAGTTTGGTAATTAAATAAAAATAGGAATAATTGATTGACCTATAGTGTTTTGCTGTTTAAGCTCTCTTCAGGGCATCTCATTTCAAATTTAGGACATTTTATTTAGAGATACAGTCTTCGCAAGCATTTGTTCCTCTGGTTCCTTTTTCTACTGTACTACATAGATGTATAGCAGTTGGTTAAATAACAAGCCTGACAAAAGAAGTGGTTGCTTTAAAAGTCTCTTTAATTTTTTATAACTTTCTGAAAAAGATCAGCTGCTTTAATAAATGGCAGAGAGGTGTATGCATGATATCCAATACAGTCTTGAATCATTTTTGAAATGTGTATGGTCCTGTTAATTAACAAGAACTAATTTGAACTATGTGTAACATACACTTGAGTGTTTTTTGTTTATTACAGTTAGGATGATTACAATATGTGGGATTTATTTAATATATAATTTGCCTTGAAATAAACTAAGAAATGTTGGGTGATTATGAAAGGTAGGAAGTTTAACCAATATACAAAGTGAGTACAAAACACCTTTCTGAGTACAGTATGGTACAGTATGATTTAAATTTAGTTTTAATTTGAGAATATATGTATGTTATTTAAAAACTCCTCAGTTTGTGTCAAGTTAGAAAAAAAATAGGAACTATTTGACCTCTGCATGGCGGATGCTGCCCTCTTGTGTTAGAGATGAATACCTAAGATCACTAAAAGAAAAAAAAATGAATTATGAATTATAGTACCTCTGTTTAGTATTTGGCTTAAATTGTAAAGTATGAATATCTCCAAGCATATTTTTAATCTATTGATTAATGTATTTATTAATTATAAATCTATTATTAGATTTATATAATCAACCAATTCATCAAGCAACTCTGACAGTTTAACAATTTATAGAAACACAAAAATGTGTGTTTAAAAATAGAAAAATACAAGTGCAATGTAAACATTTGGAATAGAAAAAAGAACAGTAAGATAAAGCAATGACAGAAATAACAATAAGAACATAATTTACTGAGGCTAACCTACACATATCTCAGTCAAGTTTGTTGTCCCATTTAAATTTGAAGATAGTGATACTACAGCTTCCACATATTATGCAGGAAAGGATATTCCTGATCTTGCCTAGAAGGGCTTAAGCCTTGGGAGGAAGACAGTTATTCACCTGCTACTAATGATATATAGGATTATCAGTTCATTTAGGGCAAAATGTATATGAGATCTTCAGTTAAAGTAGATGTATTTGGATATTGTACATACACTTTGTTTTACATTGCAGAAAATGGATTTTGCCTTCCTTTCTTGGCTGGAAAGGGACACTTAAATTTCAAATTGAGGGAAAATGGAAGGGAAACATATTTGAATAAAGTATATACATTAAGGATTTTAATGTATTTTGGTGACAAGTAATTTAGAGATTTACAAATCAGAATATGTTTGTGCTGTTTAAGAAAAAGAAAAGTATTAACACTTGCATATTAGAAGGAAGCCCAATAGTTCAAGATAAGTTTAAATTTCCTTTGTAGAGTTTAAGGGTATTGAATATAGTTCAAGGTTTCATATAACAGAAAAGGGCAGTACTCTAGAGGAGTACTCAGCATATTCATATCAGTTTTCTTGTATTCAAGAAAACTTATTTAGAAATAAAAAGTCCTTCCAATTAAGTAAAGCTAATGGCAGCATTATTAACATAAATACTGCCCCTGCTAAGAGTAGACCCAGCAAAGTGAATGAAGCATCCCTTCTTCATACTAGGACACAGTTGGCAAAAGAGGCCATCATTGTCAAGCAGCTTTGGATCAGTATTCTCTGTCCAAGGTTCTGCATATTGCTGATGCTTCTGTCTCTCATTGTGTAGTATTCAGAGCTTTACCTTAGGGAAATTCTTCCAGGTTGGGGTTAGGATGCAACATTCTCTTGTTATCCCTTCAGACAAAATACCTTGATGTGCTCTGAATGAAGCTGGAGCCTACAAGAAATTTTGTCAGGCTTCTATTGTAAATATTTTCAGAAATTGCTATGGTTCATGTAGAATTCACAGCGGCGGGGGTGGGGGGTG